TGAGCTCTATCATCAAATGGTGGATGACCTGCAAATATTTCCCACATTAACATCCCAACACTATAGATATCTGATTCCTTTGTGTTCTTTGTATTAGTTTGGCCTCTAAGTAGCTCGGGTGCAATATATGATATGATTCCATAAACTTTATTTGATGACTTTTTGTCAACTGGCCCACATAATCCTAAATCTGTAATATAACAACCACCTCCTTGCATAAGTATATTACCACTATGTAAATCACAATGGATTAAATCTTTCTGATGTATCTGATGTAATGCAGTACATAAATAATAAATGATTACAATTCTATCTTTTAATGTTAAATTTAAATGGTTTTTTTTCAAATAATTCCTTAAATTTCCTTCTTTTAAATAAGTTAAAACCATTGCATAATTTCCATTATTTGGAAATTTAGTTATGCCATAGCAAGCAACAATCACATGTGATTTAATTTTAGAATAATTTATTGCCTGAAAATAAATACATAATCAATTAGTATTATATAATACAATATTGTTTATTTTTGTTTTAAATGATAACTACCAACCTCATCAAAAAAAGCTTTTCTTGGGTTACTTGAATCATTTAAACCTTTTAATACTGCATATTGAGCACCAGAATAAATAAATTCCTTTTTATTTTCATCATAATCTTTAATATATCCTCTTTGCCATTCTGCAGTATAGATTGAACTAAATCCACCTTCTGTCAATTTTTTTACTTCTTCAAATTGTTCAAAAGGTACCCATTCTATAATATAAGTTGGCAGAGATGATTTCATTTGACATTGTTGAATAAAATCATCAATTATTTTATTTCCAGATGTCCAGGTGGTGAAAAGACTCTGTAATCGTAAATTAATGCAAACTTCACAGAATCTATCAGAGTATCTTGTCAATTTACAGTTGTTACATTGTTTCGGTCTTCCCAATTTATATGATGCATTATCTAATTCAAACTCATAAATAAATCTTCCTTTACAATATTCTTTTTCATTTTCAGTAAGCTCCTTTTTTTTTTTGACTAATGAAAAAAAATAATCTTTTCTACTTTCTCTGTCAGCATTAACCATTGCATTATTAAGTATTTCATTACAATTTTTATTTACAAATTCTTTTCTTTCTGATGATAACGACGACAATAGTTTATTGTATGACATTATATAAAAATATAAAAATATAAAATTTAACTTGGTGTTTTAATAGATGGAAAATTTTTTTTTTGTTACACGCCACAAATAATAATGTACGTTATTTTCAATAATTTTCTCGTGTATTACACAATAATAACAGTTAAATAGTTTATTTGATTGCCTTTAAATTTTTCTCTGACAGGATTAATTGATAAAGAACTAATTTATAAATATAAATCTTGAAAAATTGAAAAATTGAAAATTGCATTATTTAAAGAACAACCTCACTATCATCGCCAAAATATAGCGATTGATAAAGAATTTCAACATTCTTTGTTTTCTATTTTAAATCTTCCAAATTAAAACTTGCAAAAATCTGTACCCAAAACCTGATTTATGTGCTATGTAAAAGTTGTTTTATGTTCGGCTTATGTTGCTTTCAAAGTCAGATTACTATTATGTGTAGTTAACTTCAAAGTCAAAATTCAAAAAAAAAAATCAAGTTAACACAACTCATATGTATGTAAAAGTTGCTCTATATACTACTAATATTGGCCTGTCTATTTATGTTTCAAATCGAGGAACTAAAGACAAATCAAATGCAATTTGACTTTATGAAATGTAATAATTAAAGAAGATGAACCATGTTGGATGATTCGTAATGAGAATGTGTTTGATTCATATAAAAAGAATTAATAATCCTATGTTTGTTATGCAAACAGTTAAAGATGAACCATGTTACATGATTTGTGTAATTAGAATTTATTTGAAAAAATTAATAATCCAACGCTTGTTATGCAAACAATTAAGAAAATGTTTATATATAAAGGCGTGGTTAATTAAAGATTATATATTACATGATTTATGTAATTGGAATTGAAAAAATTAATAATAATAATTCAATTTTTGTGCGAACAGTTAGATAATCAATACGGTTAAATTAAATAAAAAGATATTTCTCCTACCCTTTAATGATAACTGGAAAAAAGATCAAATGAGGAATGGAAAAACGATGCTAAAACTAAAATGGCACATGATCAATCAGGGATTCAATGAAATAATCTTTGATCCGGAACATCTGTCGCCAAAGCTCGGGTACAACATCATTGATCAATGCTTTGCACGTTTGCAGAAACAGCAAAAAGCATAATAATGATTATTTAGTTATATGGTAACCACTTTTAAAAATAATAATAATGTAATAATATCTTAATACCTTTTATCATGTTGCCTGATAAAATGCAAATTAAAAGTTATTTAATATTAACGATTGGCATATATATTGGCATTGTGCATTATGCAACATTGATTCTCAATGCCGTTTGTTTGCATAGGGTATCACTTTTTTGGTGCTAAAAGACAGGAGTGAGTGTTGTTCAATGCTATTCGACGTCTCTAAAAATTTACTGATTATGATGATATATATCAAATAGGCCGTAAATAATTATGATTTTGCAAGCATCTATGGACAGAAAATTCAAGTATATATACGCATAACTTTCCTACCATGGTCGCGTTTCTTTGTGGATGCCCTCTCAGCCATTACTCTCTACTCGAGTCAGATACGATTTCCAATAAAATAACTTGCTAAAACTTGCGATTAATTCCTCGCTAAAAGAAAAAGAAAAAGAAATAAAAGAAATAATAAAAAAAATTATATATAAAATAAGGGAAAAATAATTATACACGGAATTAGCATGAATTCATTGTTTAAGATTATTATAAAAATATAAATTCAAGGGCAAGGACAAGGACAGTCTTCCATTTATTTATTGTTATGTTAAGAACTTGTCCTTTTTTTGATTTTAACAATGGCTGATGTAGATGCGGTAAATGAGTCAACTGAAAGGCATAAAGTATTGAGCAAGCTAATCAAAGATGTAACACAATTCTATAGAATGATTTTCACCAACAGGATTTTAATCCGATAGTCGTACAATGTAGACATTGAAGGAACAAAGATTGAGATAAGACGCAAATTTTATTTTCGATACTAGAGACATTAAAGGGAAAACACGTCGAAAAATGTTGGCTTATTCTCAGAATAAAATATTTTAATGATTTACAAGATTTATAATAAGGTACAATTATATACTTAATAAAAAAATTAAACATAATAAAATACATATGAATAAATAATAAAATACATATGAAACAAATAATATAAATAAATTATTATAATAATACATTTAAATTTAATTTGGATAGGAATTAATCAGCAACTTTTCTTCTTTTTGGTTGTCGTCTTATAACTATAAAAAATTAAATAAATAGATTTAATTTAATTTATTATTATGAAAAATTCAACATAATGATCAAAAAAAAAAAAATCCTACCTCTTTCAATTGGTGCTTTATTTTTTTCAACCAATTTATTAGTTTCATTATTAACTTTTAAATAAGCATCATCATCAACCAAAGTATTTTCTACAGCTTTAAGTTTTCCTTTATTTTTCCTAGGTGTTTTTACACTTTTACTACTTGAGGAAGATTTTGCCTTACTAATATGTGGTTGTTGTTGATGATGAGGAAGAGGACGATTATCATCACCGCTTATAGTACCAGATTTTAAAAATTCATCCCATGCGCTTTCCAATGTATCTAAATCCTTTATCCAAAGATCTGTAGCTGTCATATCTGAAATCTCTGTTAATTCATCTTGTAACATTTTCTTTTTTTCTTCATATTTATCTATCTAATTTTTTATAGATTTAATTATATGCAAGTATTATTAATAGAACGATATGATTTTGTAATAACCAAATAACTAACTAACTATCAATTAATTAATTACCTCTTCTCTACTAAAAGTCCAACATGTCATTTTCATTAAATAATTGTATCCTCTAATATCGTCATTAAATTCAACATCTGAATTTTCCGATTCACTATCTTCAGATGATGAAGGTGACAATGACGCTGATGACGGTGACAAATCATCTTCACTATAAATTTTATCAAAATTATGTGATTCAAGAAGTTTTATAATTTTTGATTTCTTTAAGCCTTCAAATTTAATTTCATCCTCTAGTTTCATATAAATAAATCTAATTTTATTATCCATTATATTCACTTTTTGTTGTAATTTTCTAATTAAATACGACTATTACAAGTAAACAATATGTATGTATGTTAATAATGACGATAGTAAAAATCTTTGACAATAAAAAGAATTCTAACTTACCCTTCTTTTTACATAAAAGTCTAATCTTATTTGATAAAATTCTTTTAGTATATCTTCTGGCGAATCATATTTTGCTAATTTATTATTTGGATCAAAACACATCATATTTGTTGTTGCCATTGAATTTGTCAATTGGAAAAATTTTTCAAATCCTTCCTCACTTTCTGCTTTTGCCATTTGTTCAAGAGTTAACTCAATCTCAAGATCTACTTTTTCATTTGTACAATTGTTTCTAACAACATTCTAAAAAAAAAAAGAATAATTAACCATATGCAACTAAAAAATTAAAAAATAATAATTGCACATATATATATATATTATATATAAATGCCTTAATAGAACCATTTTCTTTAAGATCAGTAAGAACTTTTGATTTGTAATCTTCGGTCCATTTGCGAATGGGTAATTCTGAGATTATTACACGTGTTACACCTATTTTGGTCACAATGCCATATGATATATATTTATTTTTCTCGGTTTGTTTTATTTCGCCCTTAAATATAACAAATAGATATATAGATAAATAAATAAATAAATAAACAAACAAATAAGCAAGCAAATAAATATAACAACTCATATATATTACAATAATTACCTGAAATCCACGATACCAAGGATGCATTGGATTTAATTCTTTCCCATTAATCATTTGTCTTAAATTATAAATAATATCTTTAGGATTATAATTTGGTATATTGGTACTCCAACCTATAAGAATATAAATATATATTAGCACATCTCTTTGTAAAGATATATATATATATATATATATAAATTAATTAATTAATTAATTAACAAAAAACCACAATGCCTACCTGTTCCTATACCTTCCGCACCATTTACAAGAATCATTGGGATGACTGGAACATACCATTTTGGTTCAATACTTTGGCCGTCTTCGTTCAAATAATCAAGTAAAACATCATCATCTGGATGAAAAATCATACGCGCAAATGGTGTAAGTCTTGTGTTTATATAACGAGCACTAGCAGCACTTTTACCACCCTATATTAATATTAATATTAATATTATTACTATTATTATAATTATTTTAAATGAAACAACAACTTACATCATTTCTTTTTCCAAATTGTCCTATTGGTTCAAGTAAATTGAGGTTGTTTGATCCTACAAAATCTTGAGCAAGCCCAATAATAGTAGAATGGAGACTCACTTCACCATGATGATACGCAGAATGTTCTGCAATATAACCTGACAATTGCGAAACCTATTATATAAAAGTGTAGAAGTGTAGAATATAGTAAATTGATAAAATTTTGCTAATATCATTTTTAAAAAAAAAAATAAGATTAATTATAATTAAAAAAATGAGAGATTAATTATAATACCTTTATTTGGCCTTTAACCAAATTTCTTCTGAAACAACCAAACAAAACTTTACGCTGACCAGGTTTTAAACCATCAATTGCAGAAGGAATCGATCTGGTATTATCAGAAAGAGAGAATAAAGATAATTCTTTGTTTATAAAATCCTTTATACTAATTTCATTTTGCGTATAATCAATATATGTTCCATCCTATTTTATATTATATATTTATTAATATGTGTAATTAATGATGCATGTACACAAGTTCTGTATATAAATATGTCCAATTTGCTACCTCGATGCCTTTAATCCATTCTTTACGTTCATCTGCATTCTTTTTAGAAAATGCCATCTCAATTAGCTTATGATCTTCATCATCCATTGGTTTAAATAATTTAACATGTTTATCAAGATCATTGAAATATTCTTTTGCCTCATCAGATGTACTTGTTCCAAGACCCTAACATTCAATAGTAATAAAATAAAGTTGTTTTTATCAACAACACATCTCATAAACAATAAATAAACAAACAAACTTTTTGCTACCTTATAATATTTGATTTCCCAACCTTTTCCATTATCGTTTTCGCCCTTCCATTCCTCATATTCAGGAATTGTAAAAAAAGATAATACAGTCTTATCTTTTTGGCACTGTTTGAATAATCAAATATTTTTATATATAAGTAATAACCATTATTCTATTTACTTAAAAGTAAGCATAATGGTTTAATACTTCACCTTGACTTTGACAATAGGTGTAATGAATTCACGAAGAAAGCCGGGTTGTTTTAATAAGGATGGATAAAAATGATCAAAAAAATTGATAATCAAACCCTTAATATGACTACCATCGTGATCCTATTACACAAATAAATTATCAATAATTTCTTGACAATAGTGACGATGTCAGTAATAATAAAATATAAATTACTTGATCGGTCATTATCATAAGACTACCATATCGCAAGTCTTTGAGCGAATCATACTCTCTATTGTGTTGTAAACCAAGTATTTGTTTAATCGCTTGTACTTCTTTATTTTCAGATATTTGTTTCAGTGATGCATCGCGAACATTTAACAACTTCCCACGTAATGGATAAACACCCCATTCATTATGACCAACAACATCAAAGCCTGCTAAAGCCAATGCTTTGGCTGAATCGCCTTCAGTTAACACTAATATACAATTCTGAGCATTTCGCGTTCCAGCATTAACTGCATCATCCAATTTTGGGACATTGATCCTATTGATCAGCAAAAATAATTAAATATTATTGTAAGAGTTAAAGTTGCTAAATTAAATTGTCATATGAAAATTTCTCACATATTTCTTTTGACTCCATCCGTTTTCTTCAAGTCCTGAACTTGTTTTGATTTAAGATCATTCATTATACCCTCTAAAATACCCGTTCTTACCACTTTAAATATGTATTTTATCAAAAGAAGAAAAAATCCTCAAATCATTAATTATTATTATTTTACCTATATTATTTTATTTTTCTTCAAAAAAAGCGATTTACCTTTTTTAATGAAATCATCATCAACTACACACTTTGATCCAAATGAACTTTGTTTTAATGTCATATTTTCCTTTGTTTGAGAGTCGAATGCAGGATTTTCAATTAAACAATTAACAAATATCCAGATGTAATTTTTTATTTGGAATGGCTTAACTTTAACACCCTTATTTTTTTTTTCTATGTGTTCAGTAAGTTTTGTAACTATTTGATCAATCACATGTTTAACATGCGTACCACCTTTAGATGTACAGATACTGTTTACAAAGCTCACCTAATCATTAAATAAAGAAAGAAATAAAGAAATATATATAAATAATATTTTTTTAAACCAATTTTAACATGAAATAATAAAAAACAGATAGACAGATAAATATACACATACTTGTTGGAATTGACCTTCAATGCTAGGAGTTATACTGATTTCCCAACGATCATTAACATGTTCATGTACTATACTACTCCTTGAAGATGCACCGACCGCATTAACTGATTTCAAGTACATTTGAACATATTCCTTGAAATTTTTTGCATGAATACGTTTATCATTAAGAAATACTTTAACATCTTTTACAGTTCCAGCCATGTCATGTACACGTTTACTCAACAAAGAAATGGCTTCATCAGTCAAACCAGTCATTCCAAATTTCTCAAAATCAGGAATAAATGATATCATGGTGTATTCTTCTTTCTTGCTATAACTGGTGATCTTTGGTTTATCGGTTTGAGTCATGTTATTATGAAATAACTGTATGTATCTTTTCTTTTGTGTCGTATCAGTTGTTTCTACGGTGAATTGGGTACTGAAAATATTTACAGATTTTGCACCAAGACCATTTCTACCACCAGTAACTTTCTTCTCATCATCATTATAATTTGATGATGTCATGAGTTGTCCAAATAACATTTCTGGTACATATACATTCAATTCTTTATGAATTTCTATCGGAATACCTTTGCCATTATTGTACACGGAAATTTTTCCTGCTTCTTTATCAATTTTAACTTTTAATGTGCTCATTGAAGAGTCTCTGATCTAATTTTTTGAGAAACATTATTATTACGTTTATTAAACAATCAATTGACGACCATTAATTATAATCAAGCAATACCTTGTTGTCAGCAGCATTAACAAGAATTTCATCGAAAATTTTGAAAAATGCTGGGACATAAGTAATTTCTTTATATTCTAGTTTATCCTCTTCAGCGTTATATATCCATTGTTTGTCAGTTATTGCTTCGACAGAGCCGACATAAGTATCTGGTCTCTTAAGTACATGTTCAATTGGAGTTAATTTAATATAAGTTTCTTCGATTGTTTTCGAAGAAGATTCTTGAGCATTAGACGTAGACATGTGTGCTTGTGTTTTCTAAAGATTCAAATAATTTACAGCTAGTTAATTTTCTGAAGGAAATATTTTCCTCTAATATACATATATAGAAAGAGGGAGAGACGAGAAAGAGAAAGAAGGATAAATGAAAGAATGTGAGAGTTTTTTTAAATTAAATAGAAAAATGCTCCTTGTAAATTAAATTTTATTTTCTTACACAAAAATGATGGTCAAAACAATGGACATAATAATAATTTATATATTAGGTTGAAAAATGAAATTCAATTAAATAAAAACCGTAAAAAAAAACCCCATAATCAAATCTTTGGGAAAAAATTGATTTTATCGTTATATGCATATTCATAAGAGCTTAAGTTATGGGGGTTGTAATGGTTCAGTTCCCAAGACCAGGGAGATTTTTTTTTCAGAGAATTGAAAGAACCACCATTTAAAAAACCCGGATAAAAACTGGTTAATAATAATGAAATTATAAAAAATAAAAATAATCATGGATTTGTTTTATTTTTACTTGTTGAATTATTGGCAGAAAAGAGATTTGAATTGAATTAATTAATTTAAAGGATTATTTTATTTCTTTTTGCATCAATCTTAAAAGTTTTCGACTAAAATCGAACTTCGAATTTTATTGAATGTATGGATGGGCTTTACTAAACGGTATTATTATCATATCACCTTTTTCGAATCCGAAAATAAAGATTCGAGTTGTCAATTTTGAAAATTACTATATACAAGTTTCTTGATTGAATTCGCAGCAAGCCTACCTTTGGATGGTTTCGACGACGCGTCATTTAATTTGTATTGGTCAATAAAGTCGACTAAGTTGGCGAGGCAGGTACAATAATAGACTTGGTAGGTAAAGAAATATTTCATTTTATTTATCATCATCATCTTTTAACCAAGTTATATTAACAACATAATATTTAAGTAAAACATCAAGTTCACTCTTTAATAAATCTATTTCATTATATTTATCCTTTTAAGTTTTCTTTATTTTTATCCTTTTCAGTAGTTGTTGATGCTGGAAAAAAAAATTTTTTTTCAGGCATTGATCCGGATATAAGTTAACCTGGATTCCAATTATTCCAAACTCATCTTTGTCTGGTTTACACCATATAGGACCCGTAATTAACCTCTTAACACCACCATCATCTCTTTTTTTGCGATCGATGCAAATTAAACGTGAGCATTCAATTATAAAAGTATGTTCGGAATTGGTTGTGCAATTTATCTGACCATCTTGGATCAAGAGATACAATCTCCATATTTTGATATAAACATTACTATATATCTAGCCGTCTTCCATAATGACCTTCTTCTCCTCTTCTATCCACGCTAGCAAGGCTCTGTTTCTCCGAGCTGGATGAAAATATTTAGTATTACCTTGAAGACACACCAATGACTAGTAAGATAAAACTTACTTACTAGTGTATGATGGATTCTCACAAGAAAGAGCATCTAATTGCAGACATAATTACGTTTAGTCACATAAGTCTGTTTGTTTTGCGTTTCCATTCGCTCAAGGTGCAGAGAAGTTTTTGACGTTGCTCCAAACATTGAATGTATAGATAGATTTGTTGCTAATGAAATTGCCCTCTGGACTAATCTCTCAATTCTTCTTTAGGAATCCATGGCTTTTCTTCTATTACCTGTAATGTTGTTTGACAAAATATTACCAAAGTTGTAAAACTATTACGTCAAATTCGCTGCCATTAAGTCAAAAATGACGCAAGTAAAATTGCTTTAAAGGCTGATAAAATATAAATACTTACAAAAAAAAACTTGTAAATATATATTCCAAGATCTTTTTTCTTGAGTATCCCAATCTCTCCTTTGTTTCATCAGTTGTTCCCAAGGAGCCAAGTTTTTCTTTTGCTGAATACAAATTCAGTTCCCACACACTCATTTACTATATACTAAACTCGAACATTTCTTATATTAATAATATTAAAAACGTGATGCATGATCAAACATCGGTCAGGGATTCGGTACTTTATGTTCCAGGGTCAACTAATTTAGTGTATAATTATGAAAACTTTGCACAAAAGCTTTTTATAATTATTATCAAATTACTGTGTAAAAAGCCACTTTTTATTTGTTTCAGTGAGTAAGCAAAGGTTTGGACTAACGAATAAAGTATCGTCCAAAGGTTAATCGGAAATACTGGTAGTATTATTGTAGTAGTAAACGTAAAGCTTTTAAACAAACTGCTTGCAAATAAATGGAAGTTTGCAATCGGCCAATAATTGTAAACAACTGAAATAAATCGATCTCAAGTGAATACAAGAAAATTTATAGAAGCCCTTGAGCTTTGTAAAAGGGCCGTCTAGTACCATTTTAAGTGTGCTCACAGGTTCATCTAGATGCAGTAAAGTAAAATTGTAAATTAATTTAATTGATAAATTCCGAATTATTGAAAATTGCTTGCAATTAACTAACAAGAATAGCTTAAAAGTTAAGCCATAATTGTTAATTAACTGA